CGAGCAGGGAGCCCGATGCGGGACTCGATCCAGGGACTCCAGGATCATGACCTGAGCCGAAGGCAGTCGCTTAACCAACTGAGCCACCCAGGCGCCCTATGGTAAATATTTTTTATTTAAAAAATGTGTGCTAAAGTCTAACGTATGTAAGAAAAATGCACATAAGTGAACAGCTCAGTGAATTTTCACAAATTAAACACCCTCCCCACACCCAGCATCCAGATCAAGAACCAGAAGCCTGCCCGGAGCCCCTCCCAGTCACTAACCCTCTCCTCAAGGCTACCCACGGTCTTCATGTCTGACAGCATGGATTCCTTTTGCTGTTTTTGAGCTTCATATAAATGGGAGATGCAGTGTGTGCTCTTCCGTGCCTGGCTTTGTTATGTGCCTGAGATGCACCCACGTGGTCATGTGTTGTCGTAGGTCATTTTCATGACCGTAGAGCATTCCCCTGGGTGACTGTCCCACAGTATTTACCCACTCTTTTTTTTTTTTTTTTAAGATTTTCTTTATTTATTTGACAGAGAGAGACACAGCGAGAGCGGGAACACAAGCAGGGGGAGTGGGAGAGGGAGAAGCAGGCTTCCCGCCGAGCCAAGAGCCCGATGTGGGGCTCGATCCCAGGACCCTGGGATCATGACCTGAGCCAAAGGCTGACGCTTAACGACCGAGCCACCCAGGCGCCCCTTACCCACTTTTTTGATGGGCATTTAGGGTTTTTACTCAGGGACTATTAGGACCACTGCTGCTATGAGCAGTCTCGTCCACATCTCCCGGTGTCCACGGACGCGTGCTTCTGTGGGCCGCCTGCTGGGGAATGGCGCTGCTATAGGGCACAGGCCAGGCCTATGTGGCGCTTTTGTAGATGCCGCCACCCAGACTTGTAAAGCGGCGGCGCACCTTACCTCCCACCAGCCGTGTCAAGCCTCCTGTTGCTCCACATCCTGGAAGGCCTCTATCCCCACTTTGCAGGTGATGGAGACTTGAAGGTAAAGTGCCTTGTCCCCAACACAGCCAGTGAGTCCTCAAACCAGATTCATCCACCACTTAACAACAGGCATTTGCTGAGCTCACACTCTGTGCCAGCCCCATGGGGGCCCGTGGGGGCCAGGGGGTCCGCAGCCACTCTGAGGTACATTGTTCATACCCGCATGCGACTTCTCATTGGGCTGACCCGAATTTGAACTCAGATCTGTTCAGTGCCAACATTTATGCTTTTCGACTCTGTCATCCTTTCCCTGCACTCCTTTGGAGCCTGGCAAAGCACTTGGCACATAGTAGGTACTCAACAAATATGGGCCGAATGAATGAGGGAATGGGAAATCTCAACAGGGCCTTCCCCGCATTGATGAGCAAATCTCGAGATGGGCTTCTGGCTGCAAATTACAGGAAAACACAGTGTTTTCTCTGGTATTTCTAGGCTGATGAGCAAACCCAGGCATATTTAGTCTTAGCATGGACCTTCATCAAGTCTGACTTCTGGAACACTAACCTCAGGGCCCAGGAAGGGGGGCCTCTGTACCCTTCAGAGTTAGAGTTTATTATGGAACAGGAAAGACTCCACAGGGCCTATGGTAAAGGTTTTTGGGGGCAGTGGAAACCCTACTCTAAGGAAGACTTAAGGTCCCAAGGTGTGAAATCTCCTTCTGGATCAGTAGGTAGCCGGAGGATGCTCAAGTCTGATACGCGGAGGGTTGGCTGGACTCATAGTTGGTTGAGTTTATGAGCAGAAGCCTGTTCTGTAAGGAGAAGAGGCAGGATCAGTCACCAGGGTGACGGCCCGTCCAGCCCCTGCAGGGGACTCTCATCCATCCATGCCAGCCAAGGGCCAGTGCCTGAGGCACTTGCATTAAAATTCTTTCCAAATGATAAGTAGTTATATCCTTATTCCTTTTACTAGACTGTGAGCTCCGTGAAGGTGGGGACTGTATCTGTCTGCAAATGGTGGGTGGTCTCAGGTTTGGGGTGGAGGCAGTGCTCCCTAAAGGACTGAGTGGTAATCTGGTAATCTGGAGGTTTGGGTGACTTCGCGGGGCACAGCCTGCTTGGTAGGGGTGCCCTCTGCTGCCCTAGCTCTCTCGGGGGACAGGAATGGTCATCATCATATGGTCCCCTCTAAGTGTTCTCAGAGCACATGCAGACGCCCCTCAGTAGGTCTCACTGGGAGCTCCACTGGGGCACCGCTTCCATTTGCCAATCCTGAGTCCTCCTCCCTGGCTGGATGCAGACACTCACCCATGAGGCTCTTCAGCAGTTTCACGTCCAGCTGTCTGAGGATTTCACCGATCAGAGGACACACCTGGGCCACCAGCACAGAGAGAAGGGTCAGGCCAGGGACTAAGGAAGAGGAAACTAGAGTCATAGCAAGAGCGGCTCCCTTGTGTTGAACGCGAACAGGATGCCATGCACAGCACTTTCATGTCTGCCGGAATCCTCATGATGACTCTGTGAGATAGGGGTTGTGGTGATTCCCATGCTACAGATGGGGACACTGAGGCACAGGGAGGCTGAGTCACTTGCCAAGGACACACAGCTAGTAGATGACAAAACTGAAATTTTTAATGGCAATTTTTCAGGGCCTGAAGCCCAAGATTGGAAACTCTTTTCTGAATTGCCAGTATATATGTCCTGACCCTCAGACTCAAAAGATACCCTGGGGGACAATATTTTTCTCAAACTTACCTGACTTTCCACTAGGTGTGGGATAACTTTTGCCAGGTTCCCCCTGAAGTTACGGAGAAAATGTTTCATCTTTGGTGAGATATCTCTAGAAAGAGAAGTAGATGTACAGAACAGATAAATCCATACAGTACCAATGCCAGGTGCTGGGCATTGAGGACACCTTACACAGTCATTTAATCCTCAGCCAGCACTATATAAAAGGCACTGCTGTTGGCAGTAGTCGAAGGGGCAACTTCAGAGAGGTGATGTGACTTAGGTCCCACAGCCAGTAAGTGCTGAATAGATTAGAACCAGGTCATTAGAGCTCCAGAGTTCAGTCCTTCCCCTGCACTGTCCTAGCCGGGATGCCTGGCATGATTTAGGCATTTAGTGAACATCTGATGAGTAAATGAATGGATAGCCACTGAAGACCTAGCTGCTTTCAGCATTCTGGAATTACAGGGAGAAATCACACCCAAATCTTACCCTCAAGAGACTCACAGTCTGCTGAGTTGATAGATTTGGTCAGCTGGTATATAAAATTATTATTCTCTATTAATAAACGCACCTTATAAATAGCTCTGTTTTTTTTTTCTGTCTTGTTCACGACTGTATCCCTAGCATCAAGCGTGCCATGTCTGGCTCATAGTAGGTTCTCAAACAATATTTGTTGAATGAATGAGTGATGAGGAGGAGTTCCAGAGAAGAAGGGAAGGGCATTCCAGGCAAAAGGATCAGCATGTGCAAAGGCACGGTGACATGAAAATACATGGTGTGTTGATGGAGGGGTAGGTCCTTCAGCGGCACAAGAGGGCGAAGAGCTACAGAGTGGGACAGGTGAGAGGACAAGTGGGGTCCTGACTGACATCCAGGAGTTTGCTCTTCATTCAGAGGGCTTTGGAGAACCATTGGAGCGTTTGGAGCAGGAGCTAGGGAACATGACCACATTTCTGCGCTAGAAAGTTAATTCTGCTGCAGGGGGAGAATGGAGTGAAGGAGGTGAGGTCTGAGTCTGAGAAAGCCAGCTTGGCTCCTGCAGTGGTCCAGGAAGAGGTCTAGGAGCCAGGATAGTAGCTGTGGGGATGGAGAAAGAGGAGGCAAGCAGGGGCTGCCAGTAGGTCATTGATGGGAACCAGTGAAGGTGGGCTGCAAGGCGGGGGGAAGAGGAAGAGTCTGGCTCCTGGGAGGGTGGCTGGGCTATCACTGGGATGCTGACTCAGGAAGAGAAGTAGATCATGGGGAAAGGGTGAGATCTGTGTTGGGCTCATCCAGGAAGTGGTGGAGATGTGTGGCCACAGCTAAGGCTAGGCAGGAAGGGGCTCAGCCCAGGGGAGGGCTGCTGGGACCTTACTCGGTTAGCACTGTCGTGTAGATGCTGCTTGGCTCCACAGAGCAACTGCCTATCACCAGATGCCTCCGGCCAAACTCGTCTTTCTCCAGCCAGAACTCCACAGCGAGGTTCATGCATGCATGTGTCTTTATAATCTTGTTATTGAAAGGCCTGGGGACGAGAGAGAGAGGAGGAGGAGGGAAAGGGCAGGAGACAGAAGGAGGTGGAAACAGCCAACACAAAGGGAAGAGTGACTCTTTCAACAAACCAGCCCTGCCTGCTGACTCCTGCAGCCAGCCAGTGACCAAGGTGAAAATGCTATTAGGCAGAGTGACTTCTGAAAATCCTTTAGATAGACCAGCTTAGGGGCCTTTCGATATTTAGAAGTGGAGAGTTCATCTTATTTAAAAAATCTGTACCATTTAGCTGTGGTCTCCCTTTTGTTGGGGGCAGCTGATGGTAAAGGATAGTCTGAACAGATGGAGGGAAGGTGATGATATAATTAAAGTGTTTCTGTCTCTCTTTTTAAAATCAGTGTAATGAACTCACATAGTTTTAAATGAGCAAATGACCAGGGATTGCCACCCACATTTCAACTGAAGAAACTGGGGCTCACAGATGTGAAGTGACCTGCTCAAGGTCACACAGCAAGTGAGTTCAGAAACCAGGATTTGAACCAGGTTGGAGTCAGAAAGATCTAGGTTCCCCAGGTTGCCAAATTCCCCCCTCCCCCCAACTCCTGGATTCCCACTGAGGAGGAACAGCACCCCACCGACCCTGCTGCTGTATGACTTACAGTCTCAAGTCAATGTCAAATTCAAGTAAGATGTTTGCTGAGAACCACTCCTTATGGAAAGACGTCCGGATCCCACCGTAGTCTAACTGAATGTTGGTGATGTTGGCGCTACAGAAGGAAAGAGCAGAGGCCATTCAAGTGTGAGGGAGCTCAGACGTCAAGGCCTCAGGCTGACAAAAAAGACTGGCATGCTGTTTATGAAAAGGGCTTGGCAGTTAGGTTTGGAGTCAGATCCTTTTAAAGATGCTCAGAGGGCAAGAGCCACCTGCAGGAGCCCGGGGCTGCAAGTTGTCCCAGAGGGCCCTTCACAGCTCCGCACAATGAACGTGTTCAACCCATAGCCAGCTGCAGACCCTGACTAGGGCTGTTCTCAGACCTAGCCACTGCCTCCTAGCACAGGGCCCCATAACCTGCCCAGGTGCCCAGGCCCAAGCCCCGGGAGCCTTGGCCTTCTCTCCATCCCTCATCTTCACATTCAACCCATCAGTGAATCATGCTGGCTCTGTTTACAAAATATACCCGGAATTTGGCAACTTCCGACTCCTTCTGTCCCTTTCACCTGGACCAGGTCACTTTCACTTCTTGCCTGGAGATGCTCTAGTTTCTCTCTGGGCTCCTTGCCATGAACTTGGCCTCTCTACAAACTATTCTCCATGCGGCAGCCAATAGGCAGCCCTATTACTTAACACTCTCCCTGGGTTTCTCACTGCTCTTGGAATAAAATCCGAACTCCATAGCATGGCCCCTAAGACCTGCAGGGTCTGGCCTCACCTGCCTCCACAGCCACACCCTTGCTCACCCAGCCACGGAGGACTTTTTCTCTTTCTCAGACACACCAGTCTCTTTCCTACCTCAGGGCCTTTGCACTTACTGCCCTTCTATGTCCTTCACATGGTTTGCTTCCTTCTCTTCATTCTTCCTAGGGATTATCTCTTTAGAAAGCTCTTCCCGATCAGCCCCTCACTCTCACCCCTTACCTTGCTAAAGTTGTCTTTATAACGTATCCCTCTATGTGAAATTAGTGATTTACTTTTGTGACTTAACTCACTAACTTGGATGTAAGATCCAAAAAGGCAGTGGCCATATGTCCTGTTCATAGCTGTATTCCAAGTACCCAGCCCAGATCCTGGTACACAGCAGGTGCGCAACGAATACTTATAACAACTATTAAGGGAGTGGAAGGAGGGAGGTGATTGTGGCTGCACACGTCCAGGGAAACCCTGCTGGCAAGTACCAGCGCTCATTAGAATGGCGAGAGCTAGGGGAGGAATGAGAGAGAAGGGAGCTCAAGGGCGCGGCAGGCTGGAGCTGGGGTGCTGACCTGGAGCAGCGGGGAGCGTGGGAGCTGAGGAGGCCCGGCCCTCCAGAGGAAGGAGTGGGACTGTAGGTGAGCAGCCCCGGGCCAGCTCTGCTGGGTTAATCGGAGCACCCAATGCCTATGCATCCACTATGTGCGACAGAGAAAGCTCCCAAGTCCCTGAGGCAGGGACAATTATTCCGCCCATTTCACTGATGAGGGCTTAAGGCTGAAGCTCAGAGACCTCGGACACCTTACCCAGAGTCACACAGCTATCAGGCAAGAGAGTGGTATTCAAATGTCCGACTCTAGTCCTGGGTTCCTTTGGCACCCCAGACGTTTAGCCAGGCTGTGCTCTGGTACCCATGTTATAGATGAGGCTGGAGTGCTCCAGCAAGGTTGGTGGCCGAACCAGGATTTAAATGCAGAAGCTTTATTCCTGGCTTTGCTTTCATTACCCTGTTATGCTGCCTTCCCAAATGACCCCTCATATTGGGCCCTCACTCATTCTTGTATTGGGCCTTTTATCCCCTCCTTCCAATCTTCCTGCTTTCTCTCTTCACAGCCTCCATGCCCTGAGCTCTGCCCTCTGACCCAGAGCTTTCTAGAGAGTCCCAGGGCCAGGGATGGGGTTCAGGGGCTCACCTGCTTTCTTGCTGATGCTGGAGGCTCATGCCGCTTATTAGCCAGCCCACCATCCCTGGGGCCATCTGCCCTGAGGCATTCAGACTGTCCATGAGGCGGAGGTTCTGGATTCGGCCCTCTGCGTTGTGCTTCATGAGGCCCTGGGGAATAACTGGAAATGGACAAGGGACCAATGACATTGCACAATGTCGTGGACGAGGTAGGGGGCTTGGAGTCAAGAGGCCTAGGTTGTGTGTGGGCTGGTGCATTCGCTTCTTGCTGAGTGATGGGTGCTTGTCAGCCCCCAACTCCACCCTTTACACGGAAATCCGCATGCCTCATCTGGGAAATGGTGCTTTGCAGGGCTGAGGCGACACCCCTGCGGAGGGTCTGGCAGGCAAGAGCTGCTCAAACGAGATCTAATAGTGGAAAGCCCACCCGGTGCAGTCTCTGAGTCTGGACCACAGAACCTAACGTACAGCATGTACATCCCAATAAATGTTGCTTGAAGAGAACAACTAAGAAGAGAATGAATATAATTTTTCCCACACTGTGCCCAGAATAAGCTGTAGGACTAAGCGGAGCTACCAGCAGAAAAGAATGAATTCCAAAAAGGAAAGGGATTTTCAAGTGCTGGACATGCTGAAATCCTGCCTGTCTGGGCGCTAGGATTGGACCCAGCTCTGATGAATGTCTGAGCATACCACAGGACACATTTATTTCCCTGACTTGACCCTCCCTGTGATCAGAACCTACACTGCAGGGCAGCAGAAACCATGGTTCCTCCTCACTCCCCTCCCTCCAGCTCCCAGACCCCCTTTCAGTATCCCATGTTTCTGTTGCCTGCCAATAAGAAAGTGTGTCTGGAGTCCTAGATCTGGGTTGAAATGCTACCACCTTCCTGGGTCTTGATTTTCTCATCTGTATAATGGGAACAATAATAATGCCCATCTCACAGGATTCTTGTGAGGAATATTGAGATAAGTTATCCAAAGATATTTGGTTAAATATCATTTATCCAAAAAAGAATATTATTGAGCATCTATTGGGTATCAGGCCTTGTGGCCAAAGACACAAACCAGTTTTCTGTCTAGTAAGAGAGACATACACGGACCAAATAGTTTCAAAGTTAGAGTGATCCTATAGGTATGCCTAGAACTCTTAGTAGTTCTTGGTTAATGATAACAACACTTGGATAATTGTGAGCAGTAGACACTAGTAGTTGCCAGTCCAATATCCATGTATCCACCCACCCATCCATCCATACATCCATCTACCCATTCACCTACTGATCCATCCATCTATCCTCTGTCCAGTATCCACCCATCTGTCTATCCATCCATCCACCCTCCCATCCATCTTCCATCTGTCCAAATATCCACCCATCTATTCATCTGTCTATCCATCCTCCCATCCATCCATCCTGTCATTCTCATCTGAACCCTGTTTTGATTAAGCCTCCTTCTCCAATTCCTAGTCCAGATGAGGCCTTTGATTATCTGAGCCATCATTGCCCACTGACTCTTTCGGGTTTGAAGTGGGCATGTGACCCAAGTTGGCCTTATCAGACTAAACGGAAGATCTTATATTTCATGTTTGAGGGGAAGTTTCTTTATTTGTCTCCTCCTGGGAGGGAGCAAGCCAGTCTGTCGCTCTGTTGGTCACTGGCCACCATTTTCCTACCACACTGGGAACTAGCAGCCTGAGGATGAAACTATGATGATAGCAGAGCTAAAAAAAAAAAAAAGGATAAAATCCAGCTCTGGATGGCACCTTTGAGTTGCTGATTGAATCAGACCTGGAGTTTGTCCTGCCTATGAGTTTTGGTTATATGAAATAACGTTTTTTTTTTCATCATTTAGGCCATATTGAGTTGGGTTTTCTGTTCTGTGCAGCTAAGTGCCCTAACTGATATGAGAGGTGGTTATAGTGATAAATATATTCACAGTTGAAAAAGCACTTGGCACATGCTTTTCCTCATTTGAATCTCCAGGGCAGCCCCATGAAATAGCATTCCAACTGCACCCATTGTAACCATGAGGATGCATGGGCCCCCCAATACACATGAATGTATTTCATAACCTAGATGGAATGGATACCTTTGTGGCAAACCATAAAATGCCAAGTTGTGTTGAGGGAAGTGGGAAACATTGATAATCTAAAAGATTTAAGAAATAGAAATAGTAATTGAAGATTTCATTCCCCAAAAGTTTTTGATCTATATGATTTTGGGGAAGAGTTTTATCAAACTTTATATAAAGAGATAATTGTGAAAGAAAATAAAAAAAGAAGAAGATGCCAAATTCATTTTATGAGGCTAGTGTAACTTGCCAAGCTTCCGGAACAGTACAGGGGAGGAAAGGTCCACGTCAATTTCATGTATGAAAAATCTGCTGAAGTCCTATAAAATTATTACCTAACAAATTGACTAGCCAGCCAATAGCACATTATAAAAATACATTACATTATAAAATATATTTTAGTATGATACATTATAAATACATTCTAATCATTATAAAGATAGTGCAATATGGATATATCATTCTAGTAAGTTACAAAAATATCATATTTATTCCAGAAATGCTGGGATGGGTTCAACAGACAAAAATCTGCTAATACAATTTATCACATTAATGGTTTAGAGGAAAAAATGGAGTAATTTTTAGATGCCGAAAAACATTTGTTAAAAGCCAGTACTGATTTATGATTAAGAAAAATTCAGAAAAAAAAGAAAAATTCAGAAAACCAGGACTATGGGGATTTCTTTAACATGATAAAAAAAGATTTCAAAAATCTGGAAAAAACTGAAAGATACACTAAGTTTCTAATGGGTGACCTCATATTGCAAAAATGTCAGTTCTCTCTAAATTAACAAATTCAGTGAAACCCAAATCAAATTTCCAAGTGATTTTTTTTTTAAAGAACTCAGCACATTCTAAATAAAATTCAAGAAGAAAAATCAGATAAAATCGCATTTTACAAAGATGTAGCATTTAAAATCTTCTGCTGTTGGTGTAGAAATAGTGGTGTAGAAACACAGACACAGAATACAGAGCCGCAAAGGGAATCCACGTGCTTGGGAACTTGATCTTTCATAGATGGGTTGAGAAAACAGACTCCTTACACAGACGGAAGTGAAGCCGAGGCCGTGACTTACATGCATAAGCAACATAAAGGTGGCCTCCAGATGGGTTAAAATCCTGAACGTGAAGGGTAAAACGATAAAGCTATTAGGGAAAACAAAGTAGAAGATGCCTGGGGTAGAGACAAGGGTTTACGACTCATCAAACACAAACCATGGGATGAAATTTTGATGAGTTTGAAAATCTTCCTGTTCAGTGAAGGACCTACAAACAAAGTTGATGACAGTTTGGGAGAAATGTTAGCACTGGTTAGACCTGATGAAGGACCAGCATCAAGAATAAATTAACACTAGGGGCGCCTGGGTGGCTCAGTTGGTTAAGCAACTACGTTCAGCTCAGGTCATGATCCCAGGGTCCTGGGATTGAGCCCCGCGTTGGGCTTCCTGCTCAGCAGAGAGCCTGCTTCTCCCTCTCCCTCTGCCTGCCGCTTCCCCTGCTTGTGCTCTCTCTCTGTCAAGTAAATAAATAAAAAATCTTAAAAAGAAAAAAAGAATAAATTAACACTCAAATCAGAGAGGAATAAAAAATCCCCGGGAGGCAAAGAGAAACATGGACAAGAGATAAGGACAGGGAATTCAAAGAAGTCAAATGGCTAACAAAACTAGGATGAGATGCCCAAGCTTCCCACTGATCAGATGAAGTCAAGCTGAGACAAGTTGATAGCACTCAAATGTACTTCAGGCTGGCAAAAAGGAGAAAGATAGTGTTACATACTGAATTGTGTACCTCCTCCTGCCCCCAAATTGATATATTGAGGTTTTAGTCTCCAGTGGGACTGTATTTGGAGACAGGGCCTTGAAGGAGGTAAAGAGGGTTAAATGTGGTCATAAGGTTGGGGCCCTAATCCGATAAGACTGGTGTCCTTCTAAGAAAAGAGAGAGATAGCAGAGTGTACTCTCTGTGCACACACAGAAGGAAGGCCCATGTGAGGACACAGGGAGAGAGCAGAGACCCACAAGCCAGAAGGAAGAGAGAAGAGGGGTTTCATCAGAAACCGACCCTGTGGGCGTCTTGATTTTGAACTTCCAGCCTCCAGAACTGTGAGAAAAGAAATGTCTGTTGTTTGAGCCCCCCAGCCTGTGGTATCTTGCTGTGGCCACTGGAGTAGACTGAGGCAGATGGATCCTCTCCAGTGTTGGGAAACAGGTGTGGGGAGACAGGTGTGCTCGTTTGTCGCTGGAGCGGGTATAGACCAGCACAGCCCTTCTAGAGAGCAATCTGGCAGTCGTTAGTTAAATTGAATTTGTACCCACCCTAAGGCCCAGCGACCCCGTTCACTTCTGGGTCTATCCCAGAGACATTCTTCCCTGGCTCCTTACAGGGCCACATGCAAGGATGTTCATCTCAGGGTAGCTTCTAATAGTGGGGACTTAGAGACGACACAGGTGTCCGTCCCTAGGGAAATGGCCAAGCGGTGGTGAGTCCAATCTCATGGACTTCTCAGTACCAGCCTGAAGCAACAGATGTCAACAGCACAGTGTCCAATGAAAACAGTAAAAACCAACAAGATCCATATGGCAGTATGATCTACGCAAATCAAAACACTGTATATCAGGACATGAGGGTATATAAACACATGTGTTAAACACACCGCAGGGCCTGCTGAGGAAGTGGGGGTGGGAGTGAGAATAAGCAGTAAAGGGGAAAACGACAAAAAAACCCACAAGAGGGCCTTGCCATGATTCACCGTAATGATGACGTGCTATGAACTGGCATATGATCAACTCAACCTCAGTTTTCTGTACTTGAGGTCTAAGAGAAAAAGGAAGAGAGGGAGTGACTGACCCGAGGTCACCCAGCAGGATGATGCCTTCCCCACCCACCCTGTGACCGTGGGCAGAGCACGGGCTGAGCTTACTTCTCGCCAGAGCTGGTTTGCTGTCCATGTGGGCCTTGGCCAGGCCACGCCAGGGCTGCTTGTGCAGTGCTGAGGGCACGGACAGCAAGCTGAGGAGGACCAGGAGCCTCCAGATTGGACACATCTTGGGTTCTGGGACCTGCGGGTGTCAAGAAAGGTCAAATGGTACCCAGGTGGGTGGTTACGGGGGTGGCTGCCTGAATGAGTGGACTCATGGTTTTCTGTCGGAGGGCGACACCAGGGTTAACCCTGAGCATGCCGTTGGGGGGTGTCGTGATGGGCTCTGGCAGCTGCCGCTGGGCTTTGCTCACATGGTAAGGGCAGCAGGTGGAACCCTGGGGGGAGGGCCAGGGACCCAGAGGGAGGCCGTGTTGCTTGGATACGCCCAGTAGAGCCCACTGTTGGGTCATCCAGCAACAGTCCTCTCCTAGACCCTGCACGGGGCTGGGTGGTGGGGATCCTTGGGGATCCTACAGTAAATGAATGAGGATGGCTAATTTCAGGCTTTCCAATTGGACTAGGACTTTCTTTTTTTCTTTTTCTTTTTTAAGATTTTATTTATTTATTTGACAGAGAGAGACACAGCGAGAGAGGGAACACAAGCAGGGGGAGAGGGAGAAGCAGGTTTCCCGCCGAGCAGGGAGCCCGATGTGGGGCTCGATCCCAGGACCCTGGGATCATGACCTGAGCCGAAGGCAGACGCTTAATGACTGAGGCACCCAGGCGCCCCTAGGTCTTTCTTAAGGGCAAGATCATTTGCAGTGCCCACCATGATGCTTGCTTGCCAGAAATTAGTGTTAATGGATGTTTGTTGAGTGACTAAATGACTGAATACATGAATGAGTGAGAAAAGTTGATCTCTGAACTGCCTACCAAATTATAAGTTTCTGTAGGGCAGGGTGTGAGTCGAATTAATCCTCATGTGTCCAGGGCCTCCCAGGTTTACTGCATGGTAGTTAGCAATAAATATTTGTTAAATGATATGAATGAATGAATGAATGAATGAATGAACAGTTGGATGGATGGTTTATGGATAAGATTTACAGGAGGTAGACAGAGAGCCTTGAAGCCAAAGCGTTAGGTTTACTTCATTGCTCTGGAGTTGGGGGTCAGAGAAACTTCAGTTCAAATCCCCCTGTCCTCACCATCTCAAGAAATGGTGCCACAGTCCATCCAGTTGCTCTGACCTCAGCCCTTGGAGTTCCTCTTGACTCTTCTTTCCTCATTGCCCACAGCCCATCTCTCAGAAAATCCTGCCAGCACTTCCAGAATCTGACCACGTCCAGCAGCTCCTTCTCAGCCACCCTCACATCGGCCTGGATTACGCTGGGGTGTCCCTACCTTTCTCCCTTGCCCGCCTACAATCTCTTTTGTACACAACAGCCTGTACAGTCATTTTTTTTTTTTTTAAAGATTTATCTGTTTTTATTTGAGGTGGGTGGAGGGGCAGAGGGAGAGGAAAGGAAGACAATCTCAAGCCGACTCCCTGCTGAGCGCAGAGCCCAGTGGAGGGCTCGGTCTCACGATCCTGAGATCGTGACCTGAGCCAAAACCAAGAATCAGACGCTTAACCCGCTGAGCCACCCCGGTGTCCCCTGCAAGATCACTTTAAGATGTTAATCAGACCAGGGCCCTCCTCTGCTCCAAATTCTCTAAAGTTTCCCACTGCAGCCACACAGGCCTCAGGGGTCTGGGCCCCACAGTTCAGCTGCTGGGAGCTCTGAGACAAAAGGCACTCTTCACTCCCTGTGCTCTCCTCTCGGGCAGTAGGGAATGTGCAGGGTCCTTTGCAGAGCTCACGAAGCCCTGGGGCCATCTTTGGGCACTTCACATCCAGTTTTGTAAGAGATCATAACGAAAGCATTAGTTCAGGGTGTTGGCTTTCCGGAATTGACGTCCTCGCAGGGTTCACACTCCCCTTGGGGATGTTTGTAGAATATCAATTACCTCGAAATGTACTTTTCCAGTCTTCCTGGTCGTGTGTAACCAGTTGGGATTTTATTTTTTGTGCAGAAAATTGGAGAAGAGTGGGCACTGTTGGGAGGAACAAACCTGTTGTCCTTGGCTCTTTGGAGGTCTGAACTGGGGAGTGGGGAGGGCTGTTATCCCTGCCTCATCACAGGCTGTGGCTCTCAGGGCCACCGAGTCTATAGAGATGATGTAGAAGGTGTAGACTTTTCCAAGCCTGGTGCAGGACAGGGGAGCAGGAAGGCACTGCTCAGGGGTGAGCCCTGCAGTTCCTTGTCCTTGTGGTGCCCCCGTCCCCGTGGGGAGACTGCCAGTCTTCAGCCATCCCTGCTGTGAGCACGGGATGGTGACGTGTGGTTGTGAAGGGGAGGCGGGAGGTGCTCTGCGAGGGCCCAGTGAGGGGAGACCTGAGCAGTGGGGAGAGGGTTATCAGAGAAATGACCTCCCTGAGGAGATGGAGTTTGAGTGGACATTGAAGGGAAAGGTTAGCTGGTGTGCTCTCTCCCTCCCCTCCAGCGCCCCCCACCCCGCCCCAATCCCCAGCAGCTACCTCCGAGGATGGTGGTGCTGACATTTATTTGGTGGGCCTCGTTCACTGTGCTAAGCCTGCCCCACAGGTGATCTCATTCCACCCTCATAACGCATGTGGGGGGGCGGGGACCCAGAGGAACCCAGCGGCCTGCAGAGCTCCCAGCCGGGACGAGGATGAGCTGCCACCCTAGCAGCCTCTCTGGCCCTCCCCTGAGTGCTGAGATGTTGTTTCCTTTGGAAGGTGGAACTGCTGGATGCCCCAAACCTCACCTATTAGCCGTCACCTTTACTATTTCAAAGAACTTTCTTTAGAACAAACTTCTTTACCTTTTTGGGGGGCATTTTGAAAATGTGATGAAAACTTTGGTTTGTCTGTTCAGAAAAACAAAATGTACCTATTTAAAAAATGTTGCTCATAGTAGCAGGATTTCCATCATACTCCTAAGGTGTGCCCATCAACACCAATTAAAACCTCTGCTCTCCTGGGTAATTGACTTTCAAGGAGTTTGACTTGGATAAAAATGTATTTATCCAGGGGCGCCTGGGTGGCTCAGTTGGTTAAGCGACTGCCTTCGGCTCAGGTCATGATCCTGGGGTCCTGGGATCGAGCCCCGCATCGGGCTCCCTGCTCAGCTGGAGGCCTGCTTCTCCCTCTCCCACTCCCCCTACTTGTGTTCCCCCTCACGCTGTCTCTCTCTCTCTGTCAATTAAATAAATAAATAAAATCTTAAAAAAAAATGTATTTATCCCGTCAACCATTACTTCCTGTGGGCCTACAATGTGCCAGGCACTGTGCTTGGCTCTAGGCAATAACAGACACCCTGCTTCTCCAGCAACTTCTAGTCTGGTGAGAGAATCAGAACCAGACAAAATAAACAATACATGGAATAATTACAAATCATATCAAAGGGAAGAAGTTGGGTGAGATTGAGAATAGGAAGGAGGCCACTGGGCGACGAGTAGGGAAGGTCTCTCAAGAAGGTGACATTTGAGCTGAGTCCAGGAGGAGATGGAGTCTACACTGAATGTAGATGGGGGAGGGTGTGTCTGGCAGACAGAATGGCAGGGGCAAAGGCCCTGGGGTGGGAAAAGGCTCAGCAGATTGGAGGAACAAAGGAAGATGGGTGTGGCTGCATCTACTGGGTCAGAAGTTGGTGCCCATGTGCCCAGGCTCCCATCCATGCCTCCAGGGAGGGGGTGTCCAGCGTGACAAGGAGGCAGGAGTTTCCCCGGGTTCACAAGGGCCAAGCAGGCTTTTGTACATGAGCACCCTCCTATAGCCGGGCAGAGGTGCCCCGCCCTCCGCCAACCCTACAATCCGCCCCCCATCCCCCGCCCCGCAACTCCTTGGGCTCTAAGGCAGCTCCAGGTCCCCAGCCAAAGGCAGAGAGGTCCTGAAACTCCAGGGGGCAGCAGAATGGGTGGAAGCAGAGTGGTGGAAGATTCCTGCACCTGATTCAGTAGGGGGGGAGGCTGGTTTAGTTCACTGAGAATCACTCTTCTATGGAATGGAATTCATCATTCACGCAGGCATTCATTTATTCCTTTTTTTTAAGAAATATATGTTTTTAACAATCATAGAAGTCTGAAGACTGGAACTTTAACCCAAAGACAAACTTCCTTGAACAGGGGATGAGGGGTAGGAGGGGAGTGGGGTGCCTTCTGAATGGAATATTGGGCTTGACAAAGGATGATGAGGTTCTGGGTTCTGGTGTGGCCTGAAGCAAGGAAGGGAAAGTGGAAAAGCTGGAGTTTCTGGGTACCTTGCAGTGCTTTTGGGAGGACAAGTGGGGCTTGTAGAAATGCAGAGTCCTGGGCCACCCCTGAGCAATTGAGTCTGTCTCTGGAGGTGGGGACTGGGACTAAGCTTCTGGGTGAGTCTGCTGCATGTGGTGCACGAGAACCATGTAACTGAAGTAGGAAGATGGTGCCAGACAATATTCGTTGAGAGCTGACTGCTCAGAGGGCAGTCTAAATGCTTTACTTGTAATCGCTTCTTTAATCTTCCACACGGCCCTGTGAGGGAGGTACTGTCATGATTGGCCTCCCTTTGCAGAGGCACAGAGAAGTTGAATACAATCCCTGAAGCCACCAGCTGGGGGCAGGTGGGGCTGGGGCAGGAGCAAGGCAGCCAGACCCACAGAGGGGAGATCAGAGGAGCGGTCGCTCACTCCCCATCTACCTCCTCCTCCCACAGCCCACTCCGCTCCCCAACACGATCCCACGGCCCCCACAGGCATTGCAAGGAGAGGCAGGAAGAGCACCAGTGGGCTCGTATTGAGTCCCAACTCTGTGCCAGGCTCTGCTCTAAGCATTCACTGTAGATTAATTTCATTAATCCAATAGCCCTGGAGGGTTGTGTTGTTATTGCTGAACTTCACAGATGCAAAGCCTGAGACGCACAGATGCAAAGCCTGAGATGGAGTCACTTGCCCAAGGACACGCAGCTGGTAAGCCTGGAGCCAGGATTCAAACCCAGGCTGTCTGGCTCTGTAGGCTCTGTCTCGTCTCTAGATAAATTCGCCCACAGCCCTTGCCCTTCATCCTGGGCCCTGTGAGCCTGTGTTGTCCAATGGCATTTCCTCTCACATTCCAGAGAGGCCACTAAAGACTCCAGGGGACATG